GATATAGAGTGACATAGATCATCTTCATAACATTATCGAAAACTGAAAGAATTTTTTTGATTTTCTCATATTTCACCCACTCTGAATTAACCGAAAATCATTTGTAGTTACTATTTATAATTGTATAGTGATAAAAAATATTACGATAAATAAATGTGGACTCCAACATATTGAAAGTTGAGTTCCATCTAGTAGAAAAATTAATAGATAATGACCTTATAATTGTAACACCTAATTGTTTTCATTTCTACAAATTTATGCATTCTCGCAGGGGATTTTTTCAAATATTCCAATGACTCTCTGATGTTTTGAATAATTTCATGAGTCACTTTTAGCCCATCTTAGATCATTATATTAAGGATATGTGCTCAGCATTTCACATGAAACAAAAAGATCACGAAAGAGCAATTTTTCTCGTGATTGAAAATTTGCTTTTAAGAAACTAGTTGTCACATCATTATTACTTACATTATCTAAAGTAATTGTGAAGATTTTGTCCTAAAATTTTCACTTCAAAAAATACTCACAAATAGCATCACATATGTAAATGTTCATATGTGAAAGCCCTAACTCAATAAAATTGACAAAAACCTTCTTTAACTTCCATTTTTCATCGATATAATGAGTCGCTAAGCACATATATCATATAGTTTAATTAGATATCCAACAATTTGTAGTTAATGACACTGTAAACATCTTTAAGGCGAGATTTAAGTTTTTCTTTCTCACACTCATAAACTTTTATACGATCATTTTTTATGGTACTCCTTGAAACATTTTAAAAGTTAGAATTAAGCATTTTCAACAATATATTGGATCAAAAATGTTTAACCATCATGAATGGATACTTATATACAATTATCATCTTTGCAATCACATCTCTTATAAGTTGTTGATCATAATTTTCATGATCATAGAAAATAGAAATGTTTGATTCAATATCACCTTCAAAAGGCAAGAAATTCAACATTTTATGTCTTTTATCTGATAAGTCGACTAGTTGTCAATACTTGGTTTTTATCTTAGCACATTCCTCAACATGCCTAAGAAGCTGTGAGGTTGTGTCTAACTTTTGTTTGAAGTTTTTTGCCCACAGCAAATACATTGAACAAATGATACTTCAATCCTCTTGAAATTTGTTTTAATATCTCCAAAATACTTTGAAAGAGTTAATTTTCTCTTCCTGTCTTTCTTAGCTTGTATTTCAGTACTAGTCCTTCCAACTGTCACTTCAACTGATTGAAGCACATTATGAGAACTATCAATTTCTTTTTGTATTGCAATTGACTATTGTTTGCTAGTTGATGCAGATTGAGAATGTTCAAAATTCGACATTGTAAATAACAATACATAAAATATAATATCACATGAGATTTCATGCATAGATGTGTAAGCAACAACAAATAAATTTACGTAAATGCTAACTATAATAAAACATCTCAATGAGACAAATCCACTAGCATGACAAAAATTAAATGTATATTTCAAAATTTTTAATAATTTTGTTCAATAACAAGAAAATTTGGATCTCACATAAATAGCTGAGAAAGCAGTAGCAAAAGTAAGTCATAATAAGTTTTATCATAAACTCAAACACTATAGTCATTTAACTGAAGAAGAAGTAACAAAAAGGCGAAGCACAGAACAGATTTGTTACAATTGTTGTTTGCTGGTTCTAAGTAAATAAATCTCTCATTTCATGAAACAATTTGTTAACAATTGTAGATTACTATGCTCAAGTATTTCCAGTTAACAATTGCTTCCTCACCTCTCTTTGGGAAGCATTCCTCGTTCGCATAATTTCAAAAGGCAATTCATCACACAATTTACAAGTGCCAAAAAGATCTATAAAGAACCCCTGTGACCTGTTAAAACTAAGTAAGTGCAGGGCAAAATTTCATTATCAGATTCTAGTGAGAATGCTAAAGAGAAGGTCTTGGAGCCTACTATAGTAGAAGCGGCACTCAACTAAAGTTTGGAGGGACTTTTTTGGTATACACTCAACCTACAAAAACATAATATCTTGGTTGAGTTGTTGTAAGTTTCTAACTCATCGATAACCATATAAATAGGAAAAAAAAATTATAACTGCATAAAAGCCACTACAAGTAGGTCTAATTCAAGTCAACTGCAAGACTTATATGAAATTAATAGATGAAATTAATGTTTAAAAGCTTAAACCTGTATAATAGCAAAGGGTTGAAAAACATTGATCAATTTTGATTAATGTCAGCTCCAAAGATTATTTTTATAAATAGACATGCATCTTTGCCTAAGCTCAATACTTTGAAACTTTTAATTAAATGATTGTTTTAGTTTTTTGTTATATTCAACAATCATTCTTTTCACTAGTAACCTTATAATGTTGTATAGCGTAGACCACTTAAGATTTTCAACTTACTTTGGTTTCAACCTTCTACAACCCAATACAAATAATGAAGATTTACATACCTACCACAATTCTTATGGATTTACATATCTAACACCTAGATTTTAATATTTACATTTATAAAACCTTAGTGCTATAAGCTTATGCAGAAAAAGAAGCATTTGACTTATAAAAAAGGTTAGAAAAAGTGGTGTTTTTTATGTGATGTTAAAAATTTGAGTGCTATGAATGTTAATATTAAAGTTTGGGTTTTAGATATGTAAATACCCCTATTTTCAATTCTCGAATGTCAATTTAAACATTTTATATGTACATGCCATGAGTAATCAATATGATTTTTCGTTGATATATGAAGTTTGAAATATTTTAGTGAAGCTATTCTAAATGAACTGAAAACAGCCTTATCATAAGCATCTTGTATTGATTTTTTTTTTATGGAAGATTTACATACAAAGATACACAATAGTTGAATCACAACACAAAAGCTTAAACTTATATGAAATTAATGTTTAAACTTGTGTGAATCATAACACAAATACACAATAGTCGAAGCACAGCTCACAACAAAATCATAATACATAACTCATCCATAAAAAAATTAGATCTAGAGACAATATGCGATATTTCACTCCCAAAAACTTCAAAAATTAGGTTTCGCTTAAAAAAAAGAAATAAATCTAAAATAAATATAAAAAAATTTAAGCTAAAAGAAAAACCTCAAGATAAATATGAAATATTAAAGAAAAGATATCCAAGATGACGCCAAGTCGCCGAAAGCAAAGAAACTTTATCAAAGACAAATAGAAAAAGGATTAGAGAACGAACACAAACGACAAACCCTAAGCTCTCGTGGCCAAAGCTTTTCGTGATTTTGAAAGAAGAAGGAGAAGAATCATAAGAATGGAGGCTGTCGAAACCTAAGCTTTCAAGAAGGAAAGGGGAGGCAGGTTGGGGTAAACGTTTATATTTCGAGCTCAAAAAGTGTGTTCATGTTCGGCTCGTTAGCTTAACGAGCCAAACACGAGCTGTTCACGGACAAAGAGTCATTTTAACTACCCTAATTATGTAGCTATAAGACAATAAGGGTTTGAGCAAGGTTTAAAAATTATTGTTTATATTAAAACATAATTTGAATATAATTTAATAATTGTTATTCTATTGTCTTAATCAATATTTTAATTGATTATAAATCTTTGTAGCCTTGTAGTCAATTAGATTTTTTTAAAATACTACTTAATATATATATATATATATATATATATAAACTTGATGAGCTTCTTAACGAGCAGAACACGAGCTGTTCGCGAACAACGAGCCGTTTTGACAGCCCTAGGGTAAACCGTGAAAGGGTTTAGGGTTTTAAGGTTTTTATTTTTTATATATATAATGTATAGTATATTAAAATATTATATTAATTATATAACCTGTATTATATAGATATATAATATTTATACAACTAATAATAATATATTATTATTAATAATTTATTATATATTATAATTTATACGATTAATTTTTTTTAAATATGATATTTTTTAAAGTATATAATTATTTTTAAAATACGATAAATTTTTATATATAATTATTTTAAATTATTTTATATTTCGAACAATAAAGATTCAAACACGATCGAACACATGACTGTTCGTGTTTGATTCGTTTATAAGTCAAACAAAAAAAAATTATTTGTGTTCGTCTCGTTTGCTTATCAAACAAATTGAACACGAACTCCCTGTCGAACCGAACACGAACTGTTTGAGAACAACGAGCTTTTTTGACAGCCTACTACTCATGGAGAGGGCAACATGGCAAGTAGGTCAGTTTAGATCAGCTCAAAACAAGCTAATTCAAGCTATTTTCACAAGTTTGGAGCCTATTAGAACCCAATTACATGATATACAGGCCCAATGTTATATGTTAGATCTATCATTACAGGAAATCAAGCAACAAAAATAATGTTAATATGTTGGATCTTAAATGATATTTTCTTTATTTTTTTAGCTTATTTAATCAAACTAAAAGTAAAATTTAGTATTAAATTAGTTCATATAAAGCGTTCAAAAGTAAGTGCCTCATTAAAATTTGTCCTTCATTAGAGAAGGGTTTGGATTTTTACAATCCTATTAGTTGTCCTTCGATTTTTTGACATCTCAAAAAGCAGGTTTAAGAAATCTCTCTTATTATTAATATAATTGCTCTACAAAACTAAAACCTAAGAAAAATTTCAACACGCGGCCACTCCATGAATATTAACATGGTTTCCCTCTTGAGGCAAATCATTCTAGCACTTATACAAAGGTACGAAAATTTGCGATCAAAATTTCAAGTAAAGGACTTGCTCTACAAAACTACAACCTGAGAAAAATTTCAACACACGGCCACTCCATGAATATTAACATGGTTTCCCTCTTGAGGCAAATCATTCTAGCACTTATACAGAGGTATGAAACTTTGCAATCAAAATTTTAAGCAAAGGATTTCATGAAGGTGGTACTTTACCAAATGAACTAATTTATAAAGATGTTCTCAAAGAAATGCATAATGATGCAATGCAAGGAATTTGTGGTGAAGCTGCAAAATAGACATAGATAAGGTGTAGATTAAATCATACCCAAAGAGGAAGCAATTGAGTCGTAGAAGAGGGTGAAAAAAACAACCACAGAGCAGGAGACAAAGTTGTACCTGAGTGGCAAGTAAAAGAGTTAGCAATATAAAATTGAAGAGGCGGTGCTAGCAATGAACTCGGATAAAAAGTGGGCAATAGAACCTATTTTTTTATGTAATTGTCACTTGTACAAAACATGCATACATTTAATTTTTACATTTAAATTTTAAATCTTGAAACATGGAACCAGATGGTTTATCAAGATTTAGAAAGATTTAAAAAATATCATGCCATAAAATGTTGAAAATCTAAGACCCTTAAAATATTCTAAATTCAAATTTCAAAGATTTTAAACATTGAATCAGAAGGGGGTCAAATTGGCCCCATGCTATCTAAAAGCTTAAGCCTATAGATGAGATTTAGCCGCTTGATATTTCAGCATCAACTTGTTTTTCATATATTCAATCAAAAGGAATAGAATTCATTGGATCCTAATTGTTTTAATGGTTTGGATCCTCTACATTTACTGCAAAACTTATAGAGATGCACTTCACTAATCTTAGTTGAATGGTTGGGATTGAATCTAAGTTTAGATGTTAAATGTCAATACGTAGTTGAGTAATATGCAGGCATTTACACACATACCACTCAATACCTATGTATTTATATGTCTAACATCTAAACTTTGTTTTTCTACATCTATACCACCTAAATCTTTCATATCACATCAAAAAGACTACTATTTTAACTTTAAAAAAGTGAATTTTTATGCATAGGTAAGGTGATGTATGCGTAAAAAAATGGAACTTTAGGTGTTAAACAAGTAAATACCTAGAAATTGATAGGTATGAAAGTAGATCTTCCTTAAATCAATTTGAGAACAGACATCTAAAGTGAATGTGACAGCTTAAATGGTGAATTACACATCTATAATTCTCATTATAACTGCAGACAATTGGAAATATTGACTTGAATACTTGTTGCCAAACAGCCCCTTAAAACATCAAGCAAAGTGCACTTCACCCATTCATGCCTTGCCTACAAGAAGGTAAGGTAAGATAGCATACCAGGGAATAAAAACATTCAAAAGCAGCACGCTTCTTTCCAGCCATAGCTATAAAATCTTCCTCGCTCTCAAATAGTAATACATGATAAAGAAGGCTGCCACGGCACCGACCAAAATCCCTGCCGTCGTCAGCCAAAAGGCGAAGATATGCTCCTCCAGGTACGACTTCAAATTCATCCCAAAAATGCCTGCCACGAGTGCACCGACAGCCACGCAGAACGTCCCCACCTGGAGCAACAGCTCCACCCTGCTCACCTCCAAGCTCCTCGAGCTCAAACTAACTGCCATCGAATCATCCATCTCCCTTGCGGAATCCAGCAACCGCTCCGCCTGGCCATGACATGACTCGCATCGCTGGAGATAGTTCTCGAGCAGTACCTCAATCTCCTCTTCCTCCTCCTCAGCCACCTGCCTCTCCGCCGCCGCTTCGCACTCGATCCTAGCGTCATCTCCCCTGCGCAGCACGCATCCGGTCCGCCCCATGAGGCAGATGCGGCGGATCTCCTGCGGATCCTCTAGCAGATCGAGCAGCATCTGCTTGAGCGCGCCTGCTCGGGATCCGAGCTCGACGAGGGTCTGTTTGCTGAGGCGAAGCTCCTCGAGGACGTCCGCAGTGAGTCGGTTGGGCAACAGGTCGAGCAGCTGGGCAACGCGAGGCTTCACGGCAATGAGGCTGTGCTCGAGACGCTGGATCCGGGAGATCAGGGCGGCTTCGATGACCTCGAGCTCGAAGGGCATGGCGGCGCCTGACAGGCGAGGGAGTAAGAAGCGAAGGAAGGCGGATGCGCCTCGACGGTAGTGGTCGAATAGGAAGACGCGATCAGGCATGGCGATGGCACGGAGGGAGCCGAAGTTGAGGAGAAGAGCATGGTCGCGGACGAGTAGGGATGGGGAAGAGTTAATGAGAAAGAGAGAGGGATCCACGCTGCGTAGGTCTCGGAGGCGGAGGCCGCTCCATTTGAGGAGGGATTTGAGAAGCTGCCGGCGGCTGACTGATTTGGGCGAGGTTGAGCCATCTGGGAGGACTTCGAGAACTTGGTAGACCTGCTCGCGGACTCCGATGGATAGAGGAGCGGTTGAGGCGGCGGAATCGACGAGGTTAGAGTGTGGAGGGGGGAGGAGAGAAGTGGTGGTGGGTTTGGAAGAGGAAGTAAAGAGAAAACGGGGTAGAGGAATTAGGAGGAGTGAAGAGGGAACGAAAGCTGCCATTGGGGTCGCAGGGAGGAAGCGGAAGTGGCGTCAAGAGATTTAGATGGAGCGGACTAGGGTCGCCGACGAGAGGGGTAGAGGAGATGAGGCGGTCGGCATTGGAAGAGTAGATGACTGAGTGGTGATTGCTGTGTCACGCAGCGGCACGGCCTATCGTGGCTTAGATCAATTGCCTTATGAGAGAATATTATTTAGAGAGTGAATTAAGTGTCATGTTGTAATTCTTTTTAGATACGCTGAATTCAAAACTCTCTGGAGGTAGAGAAATTATTCTATACGAACATTACATATAGAGATGTATTTGGTGTCTGATTTGAATCGCTCATCAAAATAAGTTATATTTCAAATCGGTGGGCCCCTTTTTTTTTTTTTTGAAAAAAAAATTGATGGAGTGTGATGAACGGTGCAGATCGGACACTGCATGCAGGTGTCCGTATGGAATAATTCACCCAGGGAGACACACTTAAAAAATAGAGCTCATAAGTGAGAGAGAATAAAAAGAGCAATAACACAATATTGAACAGTAAATTTGTACATCATTTATTCATGATATGGACTCTTATTTAAAAGAATGGGAAGTTGTACAGTTAGATAATGTACCCTTAGTATATGTAGATACAACGGGAGTATTTTAATCTTTATATAAATATAGATAGGGGGAGGGGGCCCACGGACATCCAAAGAAAAGATGACAGACAACCGTTAGGCCAAGTGGCTACCAGGTCGGGTTGTCGTTAGGTCGTGGGGTCATTAAGCCATGCTTCTTGTTGAGGATTGGTGCCAACTGCTCTGGAATTGGATGGTGTATATCGCCTATTTGGTTTGTCCAGGGTGGAGGACGTTTGGATTCCTCTGCATGAGTCGAGTCACATATATTCTTTAGGAGTTGATCTATCGTCCCGATATGCTAGAGCCAGCCACGAGATATTTTTGAGCTTCGTGCAAACACATTTTTACTTAAAACATATAATATTTTCAATCTACTTTAAACCAAACAAAAATTTACATTCGTAGCACCCAATTCTTATGCATTTACATATCTTGCACCTAAACCTTTATTTTTACAGAAAAAATACCCTCCCTATGTATGAAAGGGTCGATTTTACACTAGAGAAGTGTAATTAGTGTTATTTTAATGTGATCAGAAAGAATTGGGTGCTTAGCCTATAAAAACGAAGGTTTAGGTCGGAGAAACATAAATGCATAAGAATTTGGTGCTACGTTTGTAAATTTCCCAACAAAAAATATAAAATTAAATATTTATTTTACAGTGAACCAAATAACTCGAAAGCATTTCAATTACATTGTAATCACAGAATTATGCAAACTATGTGCACTGTATTTCTGTTGAATCCAAATCTATATTCCGAATCATGCCCAAGGAAAAGAGCATGAAAGAAAGATGAGTGTTCCCAAGCTCTTTGGCCCCTATTACTCCACACAAAGTGAGATTACAAGTGAGGGAGGAAGGGGAGTGCGCTCGCTACGTAGGCGGTAAGAGAGAAAGCCTAGGGGTTATGGGCCTAGGACCTAAGACCCTTAACTCATGCTAAGATCCTTCTATTTATAGAGAGAATTAAGGGGGAAGATGGAGATTACATTTATGCTCTTGTTTATGGTGGATAGTAAGGGGTACTCCAATTATTTTCTTGTGTGGATCCATTGACCTAAAGCTTTCTTGTCGTTGAACTCATCGACGTTGAATAACCGACCCTAGTGGCGGACCGACAGATAGTGGTTGGCCAAGGTGACTAGTTGGTGGTGGCGACCGGCCCAAGTGAATGGTCAGTTGGGGGTTAGCCAACCAACTTGGCCGGCAAGCAGGCGTTGGCCGACCAAAGTGGCCGGTTGGTTAGTGTTTGGCCAGCCCAAGTTGTCGGTCCACTAGACTCCTTTTGGCCAATCCATGGTGGCTGGCTGGCTAAATGAAGATGGTGCCCGACATGTAAGTAGCTGTTGGCACGACTTCGGCGACGACAATCCCTCCGGCTCGACAAGGCGATATTTTCAGATCATACAATTTCATTTTCGACAAACCAGACAAACCAAACGGCCCCTGATTAGAAGTCTCCACCTCGAACACACCTCAAATACATATGGAATATACCCAAAATATACCCATCGTACGTACGGATTATCCACGTGTAATCTTTTTTCTTTATTAGGGCTAGTTAACAAAAAAAAATGATTTTTTATAACTATAAGAATTTTTATTATGTCACATCAAATTTCTTATGTCCACTTGAAAAAAAATTATTATCATGTTATTTAAAATGTGAAATACGATTTTCTTTGAGCATAAATAAAATGACATAAATGTAAAAAAAAAAAAATTTAAGAGTTAGATACGTAAATACATAGGAATGAGTGATATGAATGAATATTCATAAAATAATATAGTTATTATAGCCAAATCAATAGTTATAATAATAACTTAGAAGATGGGAAAATCAATAGTAAATAGATAATTTAATGCATTTATTAATATATAAATAATGTTATTATTTGCAAATTATATGCTCATAAGCTTAAGACAATAAATTAAGTATAACTAAAGGCTACAAACGAAATGAATTGAGCCAATCATGACATTGTTTGGGCGAATATTTTTTGCTAAAATTCAAGTACGATTATGATTATATATATATATATATATATCTCTTGCATTAATGATTAGGTCTTAATGAATAAATTAAAAAGTAATACTATCAAGGTTCTTGTTAGCTTTTTAAAGAGTTTTATTCTCTCTCTTAACGAGCTGAATTAGCAAACAATATTGTGTAGCCGAATATTGTTTGGTTTGGTTCAGATTGAAGAATCAAGCTATTCACTATATCGAATAGACAATTTGGTTGGACCATTTTTATTATCCCAATCAGCAAGCTATGCAGGACAACTCCTCTATAATGATCACCGTATAAGTGTCTAGCTTAACTGAACCAGTTTAAATGCCTGCTAAGAAGACCCGATTCGCCCCACAATACAAGATATGGCCCATTTGAGAATATCAACACACTCGAACGTTGAATTGGCTAACTTCAGTTTATGCAAAAGTCGAGCTGGCTAACAAGATCATTACTCCAATGATGTTATAGAAAATGTTTACTAAAATTTGGCATTGCCAAAGATGATATTAATTATAATGGCAATGCTAGAAGAAGACAGAAAATGAAAAAATCAAATATTTTTGGGATATGTGCCTGATGAGTGATTATTTTATAATGCATAATAGAATCTTTTGTAAAAAAGAGGAGAGAAGAGTATTACAAGGACCATCTTCATGGAATAGAAATTAGAGAAACACTACATTTTCATCATTTTAATCCCACTCTCTTGGCTCATAACTCTTTTTCCTCAACTCTTTCTTGGTGGTGAGTGTGAATCATACCATAAACAATAATTGGAGTTACACAAGAAGCAAAAATAAATAATATGCTACAAAAGGAACAAATCAAGTAACATGAAAATCTCAAATAACATTGTTAACAAAGTGGAATAGACATGAACTCTTTTAATATTGTTTATTTTGGTCTGATGGCACCCTAGTTTTTGACCCATTGACGTAACTTCACAGAATGTCAACCATCCCATGAGTGCTCCCACATAAGCACGCTTAACTTTAGGTCTTCTAATGAAATTTAAACTGTTATACCGTAAAACATTTGAATGTTTAAAAGTTCAGGCTCATTCTACTTAAAGGGTCTCCCAATTTTCCTCACTTTAATAATTGGCATCATTGTCAGTGCTCTTAACCCAGAAGCATTCACCAAAGAAATATTTTTATCTTCACACTGATGTAATATTGGGACACCAATTATGATAGCTAGAACTCTCATCTATCGAGATATTATTGATGTGTGAAAAGATTGGAGGAAATTCTTTATGTTTTGCACATTTTTTGGATAAAATTGAACTTTAAAGAAAGTTATTTTTATGTTTTTCTTGCAGATTTAACATATATTAGTATTAGAACAAAGGGAAAAGAACATGGAGCAAAAATGAAAAGATTTGGAGAAAAACCAAGTTTTGTGAAAATGAGGTCATGGTGTCAAAACCACGGCACCTAGGTGTCAGTCCACCACAACCAAGCACCTGGCGCCAGAAGCAGAGCGCCTAGGCACCAATCCAGTCGACCAAAGGCCAAGACAATAGCGTCAGGACCTTGGCACTTAGGCGCTAGTTCATTGAAAGGCAAGGTTGTGGCGCCATATAAGAGCGACGCTTAGGCACCAGACACCAAAGAGCAACCTGAGAGGTTGGCACTTAGGCGCCATGGCCTCAGTCCTAAAGGTCAAGGATATAGCTCCAGGTATATCGGCGCTTAGGGGCCAGCACCGAATTCTGCTCCATTTTGAGCAGTTTCAGCCATCACTTTGAGATGGTTTTAGGCGAATCAAGGCAGTTTTTAGGAGTTATTAAAGAGCACTTACAAGAGAAAACAAGGGGGAAACGCCGTAGGAGGAGGAAGAACTCTGGAGCAACAATTGAATTAGAGAGGGAGTCTCTAGAGAGATTTTCTTTCATTAATGTGAGAGTTCTTAGGCTTGTTCTATACAAGTGTAGGATGTGAGTAGTGTGATTTGTATTTTCTATTGTGTAAATAGTTGCAAGAGAGGAGCAAAAGAATTGGGTAAAGCATTCTCAAGAGGATTGAGGGAGAGAGGTGAGTTTTTTTTGTGTTTTTTGTTTGTAATACTCTTGTATGTTAAATCTCTATAATTCAAGGCAAGCTTGTTGTGTTTTATCCAA